CAGACCTTTCTTTGTTTCGTGGATGTTTTGCTGGCTTGTGATGGGGTGTGAACCGACAGTCTGTAGAGTTTTCCATCTAGTGTGGGTGAGTGATAGTCTACTTTGATTTTGGTTAAGGTAGATCATCATTTACAGTGTAATCAGTGAGGGGATTCTGCAGACTGTTGAGGGTTCAGCCTCCTGATGAGTTGGTGAAACTCCGACGAAACAGTTTGTCACAGCCCCTCGTTTGTTGTCCTCTTCTCTCTCTCTGCCTACTGTTTATCGGGCAGTTCTGTTTGTGACGATATATGCTACGACTTCGCTAGCTTCCTGCTACGGTTTTTTCCGGTCAGGTCGAGCGGCAATGGTCGGGGCCGTTACTAGGCGACCATGCTTTGCCTCTAGTGCCTGTCTGGAGTGTATTTTTTGGCTGTGACAGACCTTTCTTTGTTTTGTGGATGTTTTGCTGGCTTGTGATGGGGTGTGAACCGACAGTCTATAGAGTTTTCCATCTGGTGTGGGTGAGTGATAGTCTACTTTGATTTTGGTTAAGGTAGATTATCATTTACAGTGTAATCAGTGAGGGGATTCTGTAGACTATTGAGGGTTCAGCCTCCTGATGAGTCGGTGAAACTCCTACGAAACAGTTTATCACTGCCCCTCGTTTGTTGTCCTCTTCTCTCTCTCTGCCTACGGTTTACCGGGCAGTTCTGTTTGTGATGATATATGCTATGACTTCGCTAGCTTCCTGCTACGGTTTTTTCCGGTCAGGTCGAGCGGCAGTGGTCGGGGCCGTTACTAGGCGGCCATGTTGTGCCTCTAGTGCCAGCGGCGTGTTTGGAGTGTATTTTTTGGCTGTGATAGACCTTTCTTTGTTTCGTGGATGTTTTGCTGGCTTGTGATGGGGTGTGAACCGTCAATCTGTAGAGTTTTCCATCTGGTGTGGGTGAGTGATAGTCTACTTTGATTTTGTTTAAGGTAGATTATCATTTACAGTGTAATCAGTGAGGGGATTTGCAGACTGTTGAGGGTTCAGCCTCCTGATGAGTCGGTGAAACTCCGACGAAACAGTTTGTCACAGCCCCTCGTTTGTTGTCCTCTTCTCTCTCTCTGCCTACGGTTTACCGGGCAGTTCGGCTTGTGACGATATATATATATATATGACGATATATATATATATATATATATATATATATTTTGTTTTTTTCTTTTCTTTTTTTCACGTAATTTTTGACCCCCCAAAAAATATCAAAAAAACGGCCTGCAAAGCCTCCTGGCCGCGGCCGACTTTTTCGGCCGTGGCGCCCAGATTGCCCGCGGCCGACTTTTTCGGCCGTGGCGCCCAGATTGCCCGCGGCCGCGGGTGTTACATAGGTCGCATCCCACAACATATGCTCTAGGTGGGGAGGGATGATGGGAGAGTTGGGGGGTTTCTTTGAGGTGAGGGGTTGTTTGTAAAAGATTTTTACATATTCACAAATGGTTTCTGAATGCAGGGGGTTTTGAGATGTCATCTGGGTGGGCGAGGGAGGTAATAAGGGTGGTATTTCGAGATTGGGCTACTTCAGTAGCTGTTTTATTGCTTAGTCTATTCGTATACAGGATCTTGTCTACCTGCCTATGTTTTTCCCATAGGCTATCATAATGGTGTCTTATTTGTGTATTCTCCCATTCTTCATGATTCTTGAAGTAGTCTAACTCTTTTGTGATGGTTGACAATTTTGGAGAAGAAAGAATCAGTTGGTTTATTTTCTAGTAGTTGGGTTTTCCTTTTGATTTGGATTTCTTCGAATTTTCTATTTAGTTTTAGTATTTACTATTTACGGCTTTGACGCGTGAGATCAAGTTGAGCTGGTTGGATATGAGTGAGATTCCTTTGTCTAGCCATGTGCCATCATCGTCAAAAAAATTAGTATTGATTCTCCATTCTTCCCATGTTCTCCAAATCCATTCTAGCATGCCTGGATTGTCAAGAAGGTGTAGACTTGACCGGAAGAGGCCTTTGTCCTTATTTATATTTAGACCAAGATTAAGCATTATTGTTATTGGTTCATTATCTGACAGGGGGTTGGTGTGGATCTCTGCTTTGCTGATCAGTTGTAGAGGTTGGTCGTTAATTAGGATTCAGGACTGGGAAGATGATCCACAGCAGACGAGAAGGCTCAAGAGGACAAAGGATCATCTCAAAATTAGTTACTTATGGGGGGACTCTCTCTAGATATTACGATGATCTGACAGACCAGTACAATGGGGCTGAGAGGAGAGAGAAGGTTAAGGCAAGCTGACAGTCAATCCTCCACCACACTGGAGCAATCAATGCTGTTCAGGGGTCCTTCGGCCGGACAGAAGGAAGCGTGTGTGAGTTCTTTTGATGTAAAACTCTATGACTTGCCGGTGGAAAAGGAACCGGACTGACGCTCCCCAGAATAGAAGGAGCCAGGACCCTAAGGCCCTGTTTTGTGTAAAAAAAGAAATCCAGTCGTCTGTGGTTGAGATAGTGGGATTCCAATGGGGCAGAAGAGACCCACGTGAAGACACGACAGTTCGGATGCAGTAATCGATAGGCCCTGGGGTCAAATAGGCCATTATCTATCATAAGGTCATAATTGAGGGTTGCAGATTCCCCTGGGTGGCAGAGGGGGGTTGTTGAGTCTAGTTCCTGGTTGGGGACTGTGTTCCAGTCCCGCCTGAGGACCGCGAAGGCAGCGGAGGGAATTATTCCAGTTAGGGAGGAGAGGAAGTTTGTTTTGATGGAGTGATCGAAGGGGACATAAATTGATAAAAAACACCAGCGTTGATTATTGATCTCTAGGATGGTCGAGCACCATTGGCCAAGGGGATCAGATTGTGATTCCTTGACCTGTGTGGCCGGGGCTAGCGTCTTGTGGATCAGGATGCCAGTACCACCCTTTGAGCCCTGGGAGGGGGCCCAGACTTGGGGTCCAGTCCACCAAGATGGCATAGAGGCCAGCTTGTCCTCTGAAAGCTTGGTCTCTTGGAGCATCGTGATTCGTGATGCACACTCTCTGGGAGTGATTTTCCTCATCTATCTCATCCTCTCGCTACTCTATCTATAGTATGAGGGAACACCAACCAAACTAAGGTGCGAGTGACTGGCCAAAGATGCTCGACACTAGCATAGCCTTTTTCCCCGTAGGCAATGCCTGATGACCCTGCATCATCGTGATGTGGGGCTGATACAAGCCTTGCTCTGGCACCACCTGCTGCTGTGGTGCCAACCTACCCCGTGGGCCCGTGGGCCCGGGACAGGTCCGGGTTTGGTTGGTGGTCCCTCGTTTCGTTTTCGTTTCCGTTTCGTGTGCCGTATGGTGAGGCCCTTAGGCCCTCACCGCACGGGGCACGAAAGGAGTGCATCTTCCTGCAGAAAATGGTCAGATTCATCGGTTTGGTTTAAATAGTACCGACTGTATTTTGCCACCTCTGGTGGGCAATGCACTCATTTCGTTTCCGTTTGGTGTGCCGTATGGTGACGCCCTGAGGCAGCAGCGCGCTCAACGCAGCTCGTCACTTTTTTTTTTTTTTTTTTTTTTTTAATTCTTCAGTTCATTCATATAAAAGAGGCCGGGGACCTCACAATTCAACCCGGAGTTATCCCGGCAGCATCAGCCGATTTAGCTTACAGCCCGTTGGCGCTGATAACTGGCCGTAGGTTTTTCAACCAAAAAAAAAGGAGGAAAAGGAAAAAAAGTTGGAAAACAAAAAAGAAACAACAAAAGTTGAAAAAAAAAAATCCTAGATTTACCGTAGGTATCCAGTATGGCTGCAAGGCGCAAGGCGCCTCCCCTATCCAACGAAGACAAAGAATGTGTCCGCTCACTGATTGCCCAATGCTATACAGAAGGCGTACTCCCGAAGGAGCTCGCCCCGAATACCATAGTAACCGGGGACGACTACGTACGCGTAATCTTTAACCCCGAGGTCTATAGTATCCAGGCTGAGTGGCTCCGGGACCACGCCGTCACAATCGTGTTTGGGGACGACTCCACGTCACTGCCCATCGGCGTAAAGAAACGCCTTGTCCGCATATAGAAAACAGTTGGGCGTCGTCCAGTGGAATCACTTCCCCCCCTAAACGTGGTCTCTTTCACAACGAGGGGAAGAACCTGGTCACCTACGGCCTCCTCAAAGGAAATCGCAATGTGGATGCGGAGAGCTTCACAGACTGAGATTGAGTTGGATAAAAAGAAGTACTCGTTGTCGTTTGAACCTTGGAAAAACGAGCAGGAACTCTGGGAGTGGAGGGAGGTCTCGAAGTATAAATTTTTCTGGATTAGATGCCTCCAAGTACCCATCGGGGCGCTCCCCCATCTCTCCAAAGCAGTGTGAGACGCATTTGGCCCCATCCTCAAAGAGTTCCCTGCCTTTAAGGACAAACTGAGCCCTGACCTGATTAATATCCGCTTCGACCTAGAGTCGGCTGCTCGACTTAGATATAAGCGCTGTCTGATCGTAGAATTGGGTCGATTCGGGTATGTTGAAATTGAAATCATCTGCGCTGAGACGCCATGGTGCCCGTCTTGCCGCAACTACTTTCACTTGGAGGGTGACCCCGAGTGTCAGGCACTGAAGAAGAAGACCTTCTCGCAGGTAATTAAACAGAACGGGCGACCGCTGTCAAAAGACAACGGAAGCGAAGGGGGGAAGGGGGGCGGGTCCGAAGGGGGGGGAAATGGGGAAAAGGGAGTCAAGGAAAAGAGTGACGGGAAAGAGGTGAGGAATGAGGAGAGGATTGGTGGCAAAACAGGAGATGAGGGAGGGAAGATGGAGAGAAAAGGCAATACAAGGGGCGACGGGGAAAGTCCGTCGGCAAACAAGGATGGGGGTAAGGATCGGGATGTAGTGATGAAGGAGTGGACGGATGATATGAGGGGAAAGGGGGGGAAGGGATCCTCAAAGGGTTTGGAGGGAGGGACTGATGAAGGCAGTGGCAGGAACAAAGAGAGGGAGAAGCGGCCTGAGGTGGTGCATATCGAGAGGGATGAAGAATTAGAACATGGGAATTTAGTCATAATTAACGAGTCATTAGCGCAGGGGCCGCATGATGCGGCAAAGATTCCTCCGGCTAACAATGCTCCGATGGATAATGGGGAGGAGATCGAGGATATGGATGAAGATAAACAAAAGTCTAGGGAAAAAAGGAAAAGGGATGATTCTCAAAGGGATGGCGATGTTGACCCGTACTCGGATGAGGAAGTTGTAAAAGCCAGCAAAGCTCTTGTAATTTACAAGAGAGAAAGAGACCCCTTTTTTCGACCCCCTCTCTCCCCTGTCTCCTCTGAATCCGATCTGAGGAGCGACGAAGACGACGATGATGATGGGTTCTTCGGATCGGACAGGGATGACGGGGAGGGGGGGGTTGAATCTGCACTACATGTCCTGTATGACGCTGGCTCCCCTGAAGTGGAGATCAAGGATCCTAATGCTAAGACGTTTTTCAATCAGGCATACGAGGAGGAGGGGGGAGGAGACTCCGGGCCCGGCCCAGGTGGAAGCGCAGGACCTCCCCCCCCCTTGGGGAGGGAGATCACCGGGCTCCGCAGACGATATTTATGAAGATTGTTTGGATGACAGATCGGACGGGGTCTCACCGGTCGGCCGGCCGGAGTTGGCTGATTCATCAGCGGATCGGTCATTGTACTCCCCCAGGACAAAGCCTGTGCACTCCCCAGCAAAGAAGTCGAAGAAAGTAGCTCGTAAGACCAAAAAAGCTACGAGTAAAGCTGGGGAAAGCATAAACCTTCCTAATAAGGAAGGAGTAGTTTCTCCGGCCCCACTTGGCAAGCAGCTGCTTTCCACGGCTCTCCCTATGCAAACGGTGTCCAAGGATGCTAGAGCGAAGGACAAAGTCACAGAAGTTGTTGTGCCTCTAATCTACACACACTCTCCTGAGGGCATAATGCTCCTCACCACGGTCTCGCAGGATGACTCGCTAGCCTTTCCCGCCTTCCCCACGACCGGTCCTCTTGCAAACTCTCAGCTAACAGGGTGGGTGGACAAACTTATCCTTCACAATCATGGATCAAGTAAGCCTATGATTAAGCCAAAGAAGATCAGGATTTTGGAATCCACCTCGCTAGGATCCACGCTTGCTATCCACATCTCTTTCATGACCCTGCAAACCGATACCTTGGAATTGACATGCCTGCGCAAGCAGAACATCCACTGGTTACCCCTATCCCATCTGCTGGACATCGAGATTGACACCCTTAACGACATAGCCATAGCAGATGGAGTTTCGACTGTTTCCATCGCCCAATGGCTGACACAGACGAAGGCTGCTGACTATCTGACTTCGTCTACCTTTGCAGACACCCTCCGCAAGAAGCAAGTCGTGCCCAAGCAGAAGGGAAAGGACGGCTTGGGAACGGAACCCAGAGTAGCTGGTTCCAAGCTCAGAAAGACCTCAACCACCCGCATCCAACACCCAAGCGGCAAGGGCCCAGACAATTGCCTTGCCCAAAAGGATTAGGATAGCAGCGTGGAATGTCAGAGGGCTTGGTGACACCGCAAATAAATATAAAAAAACCAGGTTACTAAGATGGTGCCATTCTCAGAATGTTCAAATCCTGTGTCTGCAGGAAACTAAACTCAACACAGAGAAATTGGTCTCGATGCATCAGTGGTGGAACGGTCCACAGGTGTGGGCCCCTGCAGCAGGATCGAAAGGAGGGGTGCCTGTATTAATCAACAAGGACCTTGAATGATCAATCATTGATCTTTATCATGACCCAGATGGTAGATGGGCTTGGGTCAAGCTCTCCATAGATAGGGAGGAATGGGTTGTAATGTCCATCTACGCACTAGTCGTCTATGCTGAAAGGATCAAATTTTTTGCAGGCCTCCCGGCCTGTATCCCTGATGCAGAGAACCTTATCCTTGCTGGTGACTGGAACACGGTGTTTAACCCAGGTTTAGACTCCCTGAAAGTCTCGCGGATCAGACAGGACACATTTCTCCTCTCAGAGTTTGTCGACTCTCAATCACTGGTAGACGCATTCCGCACCCTCAACCCCGATTACGGGGGCTTCACGTGGTACGGGCCACGTCCAGCGAATCACACCCCCGTTCCTAGGAAGAGGCTTGACTTCTTCCTAGTCAGGGGCACTCCGTGGGATCGCTGTATGGCCTGCGACAACATGATAGCCTTTCTGTCAGATCACCTACATGTGGTCTTGGACATCCTCTCTAAAGAAACCATCGAACAACATAAACCACCTTTCAGACTAAATGTCAATCTACTTCAGGATGAGGGCATTGCTCGATGGGTGACTTCCCACTTAGAGAAATGGTCGCAAGCCCAGGATCTATTCCGGGATGTAAATGACTGGGCGGACACAAGCATCGGGATTGTTAGATCAGCCCTGATGGAATTTTTCAGAATGAAGGCAGCCAACAGGAAATGGGAAGAACAGCTACTAATTAAGGAGATCAGGGACGCAGAAAACCAGATGGGCATGGACCCGTTCACAAATTTTTACTGATCCGAGAGACGAAAGGTGGCCAAATTAGAAGTCCTTCAAGTCCGCAAACAAGGGGAATGGCTGGAATGGTTGCGACTGAAGGGCATAATCGGATATGATAAAATGACTAAGCTCTCTTTCAGATCTCTCATCCTCAAACAGGCAAGACCGCTGATGCGTGTGTTGTCCCACCCTTTTGCGCTTGACGCCCCACTAGCGGAGGACACAGAGAGAATGTGCGCTTATGCCCTAGAGTATTTTAGGGACATAGTCACCACTAGAAGACCTTTCGACCTGTCTGGCGGTGCCCTATCTGAATTTTCTGAATTCTGGGATCTCCCATTAGCCTCCATCCCCCCCGCTGCCAAGGCGGAGCTAGACTTACCTATCACAGAATTTGAACTTCTCGCTGCAGCACGCCAAATGGCCAAGGGCAAATGCCCTGGCCTGGATGGAATCCCAATTGATCTCCTCTTAGCCTCATGGTCTGCGTTCGTCCCATTTCTTTGTGAGATTTACAACAGGGCCCTCACCTCCGGCAGACTCCCCAAAAACTTTACCAAGGGTATGATCTCCCTCCTGTACAAGAAGGGGGACAAGAGGGAAATCCGGAATTGCAGACCTATCTCTGTTCTTAATGTTACTTACAAGCTGTTTGCTAAAACCCTTGCGCTTAGACTAGCAAAATTCTTACCGGACCTGGTAGGATGGGAACAGGGCGCTTTCATTAAGGGAAGATCCATGTACGACAATATAATAGCGACGATATAGGCCTTAGATATCATAGGCAAGGAGAATAGGGGTTCTCATGCTTGATATGGAAAAAGCCTACGATAAAGTAGGATGGAGCTTCACGTTTACCACTTTGAGGAAGATGGGGTTTGGGGATGGGTTTTGTAAATGGGTAGAAGCTTGTTTCTTTGAATCTTCCTCGGTTGTAATCATTAACGGCAGATTGTCAGATAGTTTTCATCTCACCCGCTCTTTGAGACAGGGGTGCCCTCTAGCCCCCCTCCTGTTTGTAATCCAATTAGAAGTTCTTCAGAGCAACATCAGGTATAATAATGAAATCAGAGGTCTGCGACTCTCCCCCTCCCTACAGTGGAAGGGCGGTGCCTTAGCAAACGATCTTACGGTAGCCTGCGAAAACTTAGTGGTATCCCTGGGGGCCCTTAAATCAGTCATAGATAATTACTGCACTTTATCAGAGGCATCGATCAATTGGGACAAGTCTGTGTATTTCCTTCCCCCATCTCAGAACTTGTGTGTGGATTGGGGATTGAAACAAATCCCGGCTAACTCAGCGGATCGTTTCCTTGGAGTACAAGTGTCCCTCTCTGACTGCTCGTCTGTGCAGGATGGTGTACTAGCCGAAAAAGTTTCGGCGAGGATTACGGGCTGGATCCGGAGCCATAAACTCTCCCTCTTTGGCCGAGCTCTAGTCTTATCAGCTGCAGCCTTCTCTCAGCTCTGGTTCCCCCTCTCGGTCCACAGGTTGGGAGATGGTGCCTACAAGCAGATCCAAAAGGCCGTGGCACGCTACCTATGGAAGCCGAGCGCCCACGAACATCAAGGTTACCTGCCGAAGGTGGCTTGGGAGACGGTGGCAAACTCAAGAGACAACGGGGGCCTGGGCATTTTGGACCCCATCCAGCAGAACCTGGCCCTCCTCTGCAAGTGGGTAGTGGCTGCTACCTGGGGTAACAGAAGCAAACTGTGGGTGGGAATTGCCGAATACGCGCTCTCACAGGAATGGAATCTCACCAGACCACAGGAAGTATGGGTGTGCATGTTCATCCCCTCCTTTATTCATCGCCGCCCCAAATCCCGCTTTTGGAGGAACGTCTTGTTTGCCTGGCACAAACTCTTTCCGAATGAAAGGGCTCAGCCTTCCACCAAACAGGAAGTCCTCCACCAGGTTCTCTTCGAGAACCCCCTCGTTCTGCAAGATGATGGGTCCCCCTTCCTGGCTGATGGTAGTACGGGGATTTTTGGGAAAAGATGGGTGGAAAAAGGGTTTGTTCAGGTGGAGGACCTATGGGACGAAGATTCAGGTACTTGGATACAGGTGTCTCAGCTGCGTGCCTCCCTCCCCCGCGCCCACAGGTTAGAGGTCAACCTTAATAAAGTCATCTCAGCCATTCCCCCCTTTTGGCTTGGCCTACTAAAAGGACAGTCGGAAGCCCCGGCTAACTCCTGGTTGCAAAACCCAGAAAATCCCGACCAATTCCTCAGAGTCATAGGTCCAGATTTGGTCCAGGGTGTTAAAGTTCAAATATGGGTCCTGAGGGAGGGTCGGAAGGGTTTGAAGGCCTTGACTCATGCTGGGGAAAGGATCTTAGTGAACACAGGGGGATTCCTGGAAAGCAGGGTTCGGTCTCCTGACCCGTCACTGCACTCCAAGAACCTCCTTCTATATGTTGATGCGTCGAAAATCTCGGTGGAACCAGCGCAGTTTGGCTGGCCAGGTCTGATTCACCCCACATCCTTCTCCCCAGCATTCCTATACAAACCTAAATGGGGAGTCGCGGTGCTGAGATCAAAAGCCAAGAAACAAGCCATGGTGGTGGCATCAGCGAGAATGGMAAAAGAAGCAGGTTTTCAACTCGGGTCGACGGATTTGTTTCAACTATGGAGAGCTCTGAAGCGGATTCCCTCTCAGAGGCAGGCAAGCCTAATGTGGCTTCAGTCACTGTTGTCCACACCATCAGCCACCTGGCTACAGTCCAGAGGTATGGAGGTCTCATCAGTATGTGCTCGCTGCCAGTGGGGTTGGGAGACAGCTAACCACCTGTGGTTGTACTGTCCAAGTTCCCACAGAGTTTGGGCCTGGTGGATTCACSACTGGGACCAAATAGCCAAGGGGGAATTTCGTTGGTCACACGAATGGATCTTATACGGGGATTGCCTCCCAAGCCTTGATTTAGCCTCAGGCTGGGGCTACGTAGCTCTCGCTTGTAGGGGAGTAATCATGGAGGCTCTCTGGTTCGCCAGAAATGAATCAGTGTTTCAGGGAACTCAGGTGTCCTTTGTTGAAACAATTGCTCAGATCAAAAGCACGATCAGAAGGACCATCAGGGCGGATTGGTTCGCCCGTAGCCCATCCGCGAGGAAAGGGTTACTTTGGTTCAAGCAGACATGGGCTAGGAATAAGTAATCTCCACAGATACCAAGTTAAAGTTGTGCGACTGGCTTCTAGTTAACGTAGTCCCGGAACAGGTGAGGGTAGATAGCTGGCTGGGTCGGGCCTAGGCCCAGTCTCATTAAGGTATCTAGTTAATCAGAATGTGTTCTTCTCTCACAGCTCTGATAGCTGTAACAGCAGATGTGACCGGATTGAACCCTCAGTTACTTAATGTGGTAGTTTTCTCTTTTAGCCAAAGTAGGCACGGTGTTCCCTAGACAGAGAGGTGGCGATCTTCAGCAACCATTAGAAATAGGTAATCCCTCTGCTTTGTAGAAAGAATCAGTGAGATAGGCACTTCCTCACAGCATTTGGCCTGTCGTTTACAGACGCTCTACTGTTGACCTTGCTTGTTACGGTAGTTGCTTGTGTCTAGATTGAGCTCATTTCTGACTTGCCGCTCTAAAAATAGTTAGGCCCGAGTTATCAGACTGTTCCGGTCCACCTTACCTTTTCTGGGGGTTTGGTTTGTATCCATCTCCTAGGGGAGAGAGGTTAGGAGCAGGCTACAAAAGCTGGAGGTTTTTGGTAGTTCTGAAGTAGGACCTACAGAAGATGATCTCAGGTTGTTTTGTTGGTTCTGGCCTCCTCGGTGTCATGAGAGGCCGCAGGTCMCCTGGACCTGTAAGCTAAGCTGGCTGATGCTGCCAGATACATCCGGGTTGAGTTGTGAGGTCCCCGGCCTCAAATTCGTTCATTGGTAATGCATGAAAAAAAAAAAAGAAAAAAAAAAGAAAAAAAAAAAAGAAAAAGAAAAAAAAAAGAAAAAAAAAACATTTCATAGATCACAAGCCTGAGTCTAGCCAAGGGAATTGGTCACGCTCGCTATCGCTAACGCCCTTTACCGAACACAACGCACGCAGTGTATCAGACCGGAGATGTCGCCTCTATACATTCAAGATGAAACGTGCCTTGTGTGCCGGGCCAGATGTTCGCCAATAACTGCACCAACGCCTTTCACCCAGCACAATGTACGCAGTATATCGGACCGGAGACATCGCCTCTATACATTCCAAACGGAAGGTGCGTTGTGTTCGCGGGCAGACGTTGCTAGCCGACTACTGCACTGAGATTACTAAGAAAGAACGGTCCGTATCTTCTTAGCCCGCGCAAGCGACACGGTGACATTGTTTTCTTTCGTCTTTCTATTTTTTTTTTTTTTTTTTTTTTTTTCTCGACGTCGACCTCGGCGAGCTCGCAGATTCTTTTTCCTTTTTTAGCACGCTCTTTTTCTTCGTGTTTTTAGCACAAATGTATGGCTATATTGCCCACTTCACAGGGCAGATCCAGCAGAAACACTGCGGAAAAAGAAATAAAAAAAAAAGAAAAAAATCAGATTATCAGAAACATTGCGCTCGAGACCGGTATTGCGAGCCTGTGACCTGCTCAAACTACCGTCTTCCCCCGAGCACAACTCACCCTCATTTTGGCTGTATCTGGCCAGAAATATAGCTTGTATACATTCATTTTTGGGGTGCGTTATGCTCGGGGGAAGACGGTAGCTTGCGCCCACTCGCTCTCCTGGCCCACAGGCCAGTATATGGTGCGCGTCTGTGTGTGTGTGTCTGTGTCCCCGAAAAAAACGATGTGTGTGTGTGTGTGTGAGTTGTCATATTCGCTAACACACAACTCCACAGAAAAAAAAGCCATGACTATCCAGACTGTTTCGTCGGACTTTCACCGACTCATCACGTCCTGATCAGGAGGTTGAACCCCGACACTGTGTGCGTG